GAGAGGCTTTCCCGGGGATGCGCGCGGGTGATCTTGACGCTGGTGACCTCCCCGTCCGGAATCAGGTGATACAGCCTCGGATAGGCTGAAAGGCACACAGGCGGCGTTTGTTAGACACCCACCCAGCGACATTTCCACCGCTCATCTCGCCAGAGCCCGGTTCAGCCAAACAGGACCATTCATCGCTCCCCGTGGCTGCGTTCCACTCACCGCCTCTGTGCCAGCCCAACTTCCTCTGCCTGGAATACTTTTCCAACCTGGGCCGAAACCCAATTTTCCCTTCAAGTCTGTTTGAACGATCCCTCTCCCTGGCTCTCCCTGGCCGCCCCGTTCCCCATAACCTTTCTATTATTTTTATTGCACTCCATTTCCAACGATCGCCATTCACGCCCATTTCTCAGGCGCCCCACGGACCCTGGAACCCTGAGGCGTAAAGTCTGGCTGATCCTGCACACAGGTCTGAGCGGACAGGAATGAATGACCTCGTGGGCTCTATGGAACAAGCTGCAGTTCACCCCTTGCTCGCCGAGAGACAAGGCCACAACAATCCTGCTCTCGGTCATCCCCGATCACCCTGAAGGGCCCACCTTTCAGACACGAGGAGTCATCCGTGCCCCCGGACCCTGCTGCCCAGGAATGCACATTAAGAGACCTGCGTCGGGACCCAGAGGTGGCCAATGGCTAGCTGCAGGCGGGGACTGCCAACATCACCGAATTCAGAGCTGCAAGGAGACCCACAGATCACCTGACTTGTGTCTCCAGACTCTGTTTTTAAAAATGTATTTTATTTGAAGGAGGGAGAAGGCGAGATCTCCCATTCTGGCAGTTCACTCCCCAGGTGCCTGCAACAGCTGGGGCTGGCAACTCCGTCCGCGTCTCTCACATGGGTGGCAGGGACCCAACCACTTGAGCCATCACCTGCTGCTTCCTGGGGTGTGCGCCGGCCGGCAGCTGGGATCGGGAGTGGAGCTGCCGCCCTGGCCCGGGGAACTGTGCCACGGGACGTGGGTGTTCCAGCCAGCATCCGGCCACTGCTCCAATGCCCTCCCCTGGGCTCTGCTTTCAGCTGAGGGACCTGCCTTCCCCAAGAAACCTCTCCCAGCCCTGTGGCTCCGCCCCACACCGTGGCCACCTGGCAGCCTGGCAGTGAAGCCTTTACTTCCCAAGTGCGGCTGTTTAAGTGCCGTGAGGGGAAGGCGGCACCGGCCTGGGCATGGCAGAGCCTGCTGGTCTGCAGCACCAGCCCAGAGCCCGGCTGTCTGGGCCTCCGTGGGATCCCCTGCAGCCCCGTGTGGCAGCCAGCAGCCTGGAACAGCACGGCTTCTGCACCCCAGCTGGAACAGAAGTGCGCAGAGGGGTGTTGGGGATGGCGGCTCGGGCTGGAACACGGAGGCCGGGAAGCCTCTGGGCCCTGCCTCTGCGTTTGCCATCTGGAAAGATCTGACACCGCAGGCCTGGCTCTGATAAATTCAGAGGTTCCTCCGCCCCGACCCCCACCCCCGAGAGCGGGCTGCGGCAGGTGTGTGGTATAGGCTGGTGGCCGGGCCACTGGGCTCTGGAGCCCAAGGACTTGAGTTAAACCCTGGTTCTGCATTTCCTAGCTGGGCGACTGGGGGCTGGTGACCCAACCCCCTGGATCTCAGCTCACTCATTGGCCCAATGGGAACAACAAACCTGAAGGGAAGGGAGGGCCACGGGGGCAGGGGTGTGGCTGTCACCCCCAGTGATGGACGTCCCCCTGGAAACACGCCCCTTATCCAGCCTCGCCCAAGGTTCTTTTACCTTCCGGGCCTGCGATGTCTTCAGAACTGTCCCCGCCCTGGCCAGCGGGGCTGGCCACCGCGCCCCCACCACTCTTGGTCCTTCGGAGAGCACTCAGCGCGCGGTTGATTTTCTTAAAGGACCGGCTCCTGATGGTGCACCGCTCAAAGGGCCGTGCTGTGGGAGAGAGAGGAGAGTCGCTGTCCGTGGACAGAATGTCTTTCACGGGTGCACCCGGTCGGCCCCAGCGACTACCGCTGTGTGGCCACATTCTAGCGTCTGCTCACCTACAGGATCTGCTCAACTTTCTACAATGACGTGTTTGCAGCTTGTTGAGAAATCTGTCTTTTTCTTTCTTTCCGGGGCAGAACTGGCTAGAAGAGCATGTGCCCCGGGCAGTGCTGTGTGTGTGTGTGTGGGGGGGGGTGGGTTGAGGACCCCGCAGGCCCCACACCAAGGCACAGACACAGCCTTGGTGATCTGGGATCCTTGGGGCTTTGGTCTGCTTTGCAGACTGGACATTGGGTAAGCTGCCAAAACTACCCCAACAGTTTCCCGTTAAAGCAACATTCCTAGAACTGTCCATGGTGAGTTAGCCACAGAGGGCAATCCCAAGGCACAGAGCCCACCCCCGGACCACTGCCTGTTGGACTCACCCCTGACTGGGTTGCTGTGGCCGGTGTCGGCCACGCTGTTGGCTGCTGGCCCGTCCTCCACCGTGGACACGTAGGCAGGGTTGTCCAGGCCGGGCTCATCCGCGGCACAGGGGCTGGAGGCGGCTGTGGCGGCCTCTGGGGACAGCGTCGTGGCTGTGAGGCTCGCGCAGCCGTCGGGACAGCCATGCTGGGAGCGCCGCTTCCTTTCCTTGGTCAGGCCGTAGTGGGAGACACCCTTGCAGCTGTGACGAGACCAGGGGACACGGTTGGGACAGGCTCCGGTGGGGCTGCCGTGGTCCAGTCAGAGCCTCTTACAAACCCCAGGGAGGGTGGGTTCCTTCCCCACCCTCAACCTCCCTCTCCCCACAGAAGTGCTCCGCCGACATGCTGCACTATGACTTGAGAACATGATTGTATTTATTTATTTATTTACTTAAGATTGATTATTCGACAGGGAGAGACACAGACGGGGAGAGACACAGTGAGTGCTCCCACCTGCTGGTTCACTCCCCAGATGCCCTCCGCGGCCAAGGCCAGGGCAGGAGAGATCTGGGAGTCAGGAACTGGACCCAGCTCTCCCGCACAGGTGGCAGAAACCCAGCGACGGCAGCCATCGCCGCTGCCTCCCAGGCTGTGCAGCAGCAGGAAGCCGGAGCCAGGAGCCAGGGACAGGCATCGAACCCAAGCCCCGTGATGTGCAATGCAGGCGTCTGAGCAGGAGCTGTAACTGACGGGCCGAACGCCCAGCCCGGAGAAGACAGCTCAAGGCTGCTTATCGTCGTCTCCAAAGCCATCCCAGCAGCGGGTGCTGCACTGGTCACGATGTCCACGAGCCCGGGCCTGGAGCCCGGCGATCCGCGGACGCCTGGGCGTGGCGACGCTTCTGCAGGGTTTGCTCTGACCCCGCCCGCTCCAGGTCGCACTCTCACTCTGCTCCTCTGGGTTCTGCTCCCGCAGCACAGAACACAGAATCGGGCTCTTCCCAGGTTCCGTGTGTGCGGCCGTCCAGGACAACAGCATCGCTGTCACCAATAGCCCCAGAAGTTCACTTGGCATCTCCGGTCCCTGGGGACGGGCTGGGGGGCCTCCCTTCTCCAGCCTTGGGTGCTCTGAACCGGCCCCCGTGCTCCTCCAAGAGCCCAGGCCCAGGGGCTGGGGCTCCCATGAGCTGAAAAATGTCACTCATTGCAGCTGGGAGCTGAAAACAGCATCTACGATTTTTAACAAAGCCTATTCGTTCCCACCCACTCATCATCCCTGGAATAAAAAAAACTGGCTGCGGCCGGCGCTGCGGCTCACTAGGCTAATCCTCCGCCTAGCGGCGCCGGCACACCGGGTTCTAGTCCCGGTCGGGGCGCCGGATTCTGTCCCGGTTGCCCCTCTTCCAGGCCAGCCCTCTGCTGTGGCTAGGGAGTGCAGTGGAGGATGGCCCAGGTGCTTGGGCCCTGCACCCCATGGGAGACCAGGAAAAGCACCTGGCTCCTGGCTCCTGCCATCGGATCAGCGCGGTGCGCCGGCCGCAGCGCGCCGGCCGCGGCGGCCATTGGAGGGTGAACCAACGGCAAAGGAAGACCTTTCTCTCTGTCTCTCTCTCTCACTGTCCACTCTGCCTGTCAAAAAAAAAAAAAAAAAAAAAACTGGCTGCTCCTAAGCCCCGCCCTTTGTGAGGAAGGCGAGCCACTGGGGTAATAGATGGACTAGGGAGAGACCGGCCAGGGCTCAGGTGGGGGCTGACGCAGTGTGGGTGTCATGCAGGAGCCTACGGCCACCACCACGGGGCTCATCACAGCCAGTGGCCCGGTTTCCGTAGGGAGATGGGGATGATCTCACTGTGTTGTGGTGAGGGTGCCACGAGCAGCCACGCCGGCTCCCACGGCTGTGGTGAGGGTGGAAATCACACCAACGAGCCCCTTTAACAACCGGCCACTTGCTGGGGTGGGCCTTCAGCCTAGCAGCTAAGCCACCTGCGTCCCATGTCGGGGTACTTGGTTGCAGTGCTGGCTCCAACCCTGCTCCAGCTCCCTGCTAATGCGCCCCCTGGGAGGCGGCAGTGACGGCCCAAACAGTTGGGTCGCCGTGGCCCATGCGGGAGACGTGGGCTGAGCTCCCCGCTCCCTCGGATGGATGCGCTAGTTCTTATCAGTTCATTACACAAACCCCGGTGTGACTGAGCTTTATTAAGTACTTCTTTGAGAGCCTGTCTGGTGTGGTGGCTCACGTGTTGGACAGAAGCAAACCTCAGCCCACAGCTGATCTGCGTGGGATTCACACTGCCTGTGGACCCAGGGAACCAGCAGGATGGGAGGTCCTGGTGTCTGGACCAGAGTCCTGGCCCTGCTGGGAGTTCTGGGGGAATTTGATTGTCCTGGCCACACTTCCTGTCCTGCACACTTCTTGCTGTGAGGGTTGATAGACATTGAATCTAGTTCCAAGCTAGATGCGGGGGTTCGCCCCCATCCGCGTTTTGCCCTATGTGGTTTCAGTTCCCCGAAGAGAAACAGTTCATGAGCTTTAAGCCACCTGCTGTTATGCGCAGCAAGAGGAGATGACGAGGTTGTGTGTGGTCATGCTCCCCCACCTGCGTCCAGCGTCTCCCTGCTGCCCGTCAGTCATCCGCAGCTGTCTCAGTCACCAGGCTGACTGCCACAGGATCACAGCTCGCGTTCAAGTCGCTCTCATTTCACTTAGCAATGGCCTCAATGTGCAAGAGTAGTGATGCTGGCAATTTAATTACAGTCTAGGATTTTAATGGTTCTATTTGATTTGTTATTGCTAATATTTACTGTGCCTAATGTATACATCATAGATTTGTATAGAGAAACAAACAAACAACACAACATAGCGCCGGCAGAGTTTGGTGCGTCCAGCCGCAGTCTTGGGGACGCAGCCTCACCCTTGGGTAAGGGGGAGCACTGTGCAGAGTAAGTTCTCAACAGACTGCAGCTGCTCCCACAATTCACCCGTTCTAAGACGCTCGTTTGCCTACACTTGAACACGTCTGAGATCAAGATGCACGTGTGACCGGCGCCGCGGCTCACTAGGCTAATCCTCCGCCTTGTGGCGCCGGCACACCGGGTTCTAGTCCCGGTCGGGGCGCCGGATTCTGTCCCGGTTGCCCCTCTTCCAGGCCAGCTCTCTGCTGTGGCCCGGGAGTGCAGTGGAGGATGGCCCAAGTGCTTGGGCCCTGCACCCCACGGGAGACCAGGATAAGTACCTGGCTCCTGCCATCGGATCAGTGTGGTGCGCCGCCCGCAGCGCGCCGGCCGCGGCGGCCATTGGAGGGTGAACCAACGGCAAAGGAAGACCTTTCTCTCTGTCTCTCTCTCTCACTGTCCACTCTGCCTGTCAAAAAAAAAAAATGCACATGTGATGGACAGGGCTGAGCAGTTTCGGTTGCCCGGCAACAGTCGCAACACACATGTCACAGCTTGGGCATGGCCAGCATGGACACAGGTGTTTGTCGCGTGCCCTCTTGCTGCTACACCACTTTTAAATATCTTTAAAAAGACTGCATTCTGATGACTCGTGGACATGAGAAGTCAGGGTATGTGTGTGTAGAGAGTCTCAGAAGCGTACATGGGGTACAAATCTGGCATGGCTGGAGCCAGCATCCTCCCTTAGGAGAAAGGCTGCAATCCCAGCTCCGCTTGCCGGGGGACCGGAGAGCCTCTCTCTGCTCAGCAGGAGCGACTTCCCCAGGCCTGGGCCGTGGGACATTTTGTTATGAGGCTCGCTCTGCAGGGCTGACTTCCACGCCACACCACACCACCCAGGGAAGGTGCCACATGGGTCTAGATGGATTTTGAGGCCACAAGAGAGGCTGGCGTGCCCGGCCCACACACCAGGGGCCCACACACCAGGGGCACATCTTTAGAAGTGTTTGGGAATCAGCTTACGGGTGGCTCACCTCAACATCGCCTCTCCCTGTTGTACATGAAACCTGCTACTTCTCACAACCGCTGGCATCCTGGATGTGCTGAAATGTGGTTGGACATGAGCAGCAAAGGGCTGCAACTGCACGAGCCTGAACCTGAATGGGCTCGTGCTGGCTCAGCTACCCGGCGGAACGTTCAGCTCTGTGCTGGTGGGGAGGCGGCACTGCCCTGCCCAAACACAGCTGAGTGGTTGGTAGGGGGAAATTCACAACCTACAAGAACCACTGTGTGATGGAAAAAGAAGCCAGCGTGCACCTGAGCTGCACAAAGTCACAAAGACGTGCACGGGACACTTGCACGGGGCAGCAGCATCTGACCCGCAGAACAGGGGCCGTTCCTGCCAGTGGGTCTGCCCGTGGGCAGCGGTGGTCTTGACCGTGAACTAACCTTCTCCGTACCGCTGGCAGCAAAGCCATAGAGGAGAAGAGTCTGTCAAACATCGGAATCCCAAGGCCGCCTCTTAAAGACACCACTGCTGCTCTCAATGCGTGGGGTTCCGATGACACAGTTTAGAGCCCAGGGAAGAAGTGGGGGAGCAGCCCCAGGTCACGGCTGTCCGTACCACAAGGAGGAAGGGCGCGGAATCGGGAGGCACCCTTTCAGGCTCACAACCTTCTGGTCGGACGAATCGGCGCTTAGAGCAGCTCGTGGTTACGTAACGCCAGCTCTCTCCAGCCACTTGGCTTAGCCAGGGCTCAAGGCATGGAGTGATCCATGAGGTAGCGGCTTGTACTTACTAATTATCTCTTCTGTAGTGACTAATGCAGGGGCCTCTTGATTTATAAGCATGAACGAGGGAAGGCGAGGGGAAGGAGCTGATTAGCTTTGGCCGGAGCGTGGACATATGGTGAGCCCTGGGTTGTGTTCAAAGCAAGCAGGATTTATGCTCTCTTTTAGTTACTCTGAGCACTAAGTACTCTCAGGTGGTGATGGCCGTGAACTTGAAGGATGAACACACGGAACACAGAAAACCATTTTTCAACCAAGCCGCAACTTTGGATGCGCCGCCCGTTCAAAGAAAGGATTCTGAAAATCGGCTTCCTTGGTAATCATGGAGTTGGGAGATGAGCTTGCTGGTAGGGGCAGGCAGAGGCCAACCATCCATCTCTCCCCTGGAGGGGGCAGGGAGAAAGTGAACCCAGGTCCCAAAAGATCCCCACGCCTGTGAGGTCCCTGGCGATGGGGGTAGGGGTGAGGCAGGCTGGATCCAGGCAGAACCAGGGAGCCCGGAGTGGGTGTCCTCCGTGGAGTCGGCCACGCGGGCAGCACAAGCCAGTGTGCAGGCGCGCTGACCCACTTAGGGGACA